TTCCCTTGCTCACCTCAGCTCTGGGCACTCTGAGCCTTGGTGGCACTTTAGCGGCACTTTTGCAGCGTGGCTTGGGAAGGACTGTGACTTAAAACAGTGAACTCCTTAAAACAGTGAACTCCTTGTTCATGACTCCTTGTGCATGACTGTCCCAGGTCCCAGCAGACTGAGGACTGGGTAGAAGGAGAGAGCTCTTGCCTAGTCTGTGCTAAACTTCTAGATAAAAGGATGATGCTTTGAATATTGGGCAAAAGATGTAAAGAAACAGTGGTAACAATGTCAACAAAAGCAACTTGGCGGCTGTTATCCATTTGTGCAAGTTGGCGGCTTGTTGGAGCTATCTAGCTACTAATACGTGTTATAAAGTATAGACATTTGGTTAAAAGTTTCCATTTCTCCCTGGTGGGGACTGCATCATGTTTTAATTTCTGTAGTCGTTTTCCCAAGGCAGAGACATTAGCTATTGGTGCTTTATTGGTTCTTTGAGATTTTTCCACTATTGCCTTCATTATCATCTAACTGCTAACAGTCATGAGAAGAGGAATTGCTGACTTGAAATCTGGATGGTTTTCACTGAGTCCATTTTATTTTAGACATTATCACTTACACTTATGTTCAGTGACATATTGGTGGTTATACTGTGTTTAAGAAAAGAAACTGCCCTGGAACTTTGTTACCAGTTACCTCTCGGATGAACACTTTTAAGAGCATGATGTACCTTTATTCATCTTTGTAAAAGATCTGAATGTTTTCTTAGGGTATTCCCTGTCTTTAACATTATACCTCTTAAAGGAGAAATTATCTGAATGGGTCGACCACATGATTTCATAGGAATCTTTATAGGAGTATCTTTTTACCACTGTTGCATCACCACCTCTACTTAGACAGCGTCCTCAATTACAAGAGAATTGCCACGGCAAGGAGCAGTCTAGCTCAGCTATGTAAAAGTCCACACTTAACTTCATTCTCAAAAAATGTTTTATCTCCTTTCAGCTGCTTTTGAAAATCCCTTTCTAGTTTTCCCTTTTCATGACTTCATTTGACTAGAAAGGATCTAACCATAATTTCACATCTTAGCATGTTGTAGCACGTCATGTCAAAAGCAAATCTTATTTGCTTTGCACGCAGATATATCTTTGAAAAGCTTCTTTTAACCAAAATAGTTTAGTCCGGCTACATTTAATAAATCATATGCTTTTTCAATTCAAAATTGTGGTCAGAGCAGGAGTCTTTTAGTTTGTTCCAGGGGAGGTCTGTGTTCTTTATGTTTTAATTGTAAAATTTAGAAACTTAACATCTTCACCCCAGAAAAAACTAATAAAACCTGTTAGTTTAAGGACTAAGCTTCTTTGACAAGCTGGATCTTGGCTTTGCTTTTGTGAGAAACGTTGAGATGCTACCTGCTAAAGCGTCAGGCTGCTGTGTGAGGAGTGTGCTTGAAGCTGGCCAGTACTTCTGGATGTTGTGTAATGAAAGTGGGATTAAAATTTATTTTGATCTGGCAAGGGGAAAGATTTTCAACCTGACTTTGAAATAGTTCTTTGATCAGTTCTGCTTAGCTGTCTGTCCTGGAGCGTGTAGTGGCATCTTTAGATTTGCCTCGGTTTAGAGACAGCCAAATGGTGCAGGCTTTTTCTTTGCTTGCGGTGTATTATGGGATTTCAGACTGTAGCCTGGAAGTTTTTGCTGTATTAGTTTTGGGATGCTGCATTATCATGGTGTTCTGGCTGAAACACAAATTGCAAGTCGTTTATATTAAGATATTATGAAATAGAATGCAAGCACCAACATACACTGATGGAAAAAATCTGCAAGGGCTTATGTAAATGTACGTAGATTACTTTAAAAATACAGTTAGTAAGATAATGAAAAGTTAGCAATTTAATGAAAAGGGACAGCAGACTGCAGAATGTAGTTTGTGCTGTAAGGGTGATAAGTTGGAAAAATATGTGTCCAATCTTGAAAAATGTCTCCTCGTATCTTTAAAGAATATGGTTGGATTTTTTTTTTTTCCTCTTGAAAGAATTATGAAGTGGAGTCTGAAAATGTAGCACATTCTGTTCTTCAATTTATTTATGTTGCTTTCTTTTATAATGAATGTCATGTTTTCATCTACACAAGGAGAAGCCTTGAAAAAAATTAACAAAAATGAATGCATAGGAGGGGGTTGGTTTTTGGCTTTGTAAATTTTGCAGCTGCAGACAAAACTTAAGGATTGTGTAGTTTTGTTGCACTTGATTTCCTATCAGTTGGCTATGAGTGTTGATTTGTTTGATAATTACACTGAAATCTGCTTCCTTAAATTTAACCAGCAGGCACAGTATCTGCCTGTTTAAAAGGTCTGATAAGTGATAAGGTGTGTTGATCCATTCGATGGGATCATGTTAAACATTCCTGACTAGAATCCTGCTCCATCGAGGCAATCTGTTTGAATGAAACGTTTAACAGAATTTATGCGTTGGTGCCATGAAACATTACAGCTGTTGGTGTAAAAAGCCTGACAAAAAATGTTCTCTACTGTCTAGGGTAACTTACACACACATATTTATACACAGTATTATGTATAATATATACATACATGCATACTTATGCATTTATATGTATCTAAAAAGAAGAAACAGTGTGGAAAAGTTGAAGATAAATGCAGTCAAAACTACCTGATAGCTATAGCTTATCCCTCAAACTCTAATACTGAAAAGTAATTTTATGTTATGAAAAAGACATAAATAGTTTATCTTCTACTTCATATGCTCATTAAATAATTCTCCTTTTGATTCCAAAAGTTATCTAATTCCTGACAGTATTACAACTTAAATCACAATGCTTCTTTGTTACCAAATGGTAAAATGAAACCCAGCGTCAGATTTTTTTTTTTCATGAATGAGCGAGGTAATACGCACTGTAAATGACGTGTAACAGTTTGTTGATAGCTTTAGCAATTAACTGCAGCTGAAAAAAGTCTGCTTATTGAGGCTAGTCTTACTCTCGTTCTCTGAGGAAGCTCTGGATTTTAATGAAGACAGTCCAGCAGTGAGTAAACAAACTTCTACGCAGTTGGAAAAATGAAAATAAAATCAAATACAATTTACTCATTCAATATCAAGCTCTCTCTCGAAATAGTACAGATTGTGTGAGTTTACTCTTTAAACATACTTTTTATTTAATCTAGTTCAATACCAGATGGAAATGATGCGAAGCCTTCGCCACGTAAACATTGATCATCTTCACGTTGGCTGGTACCAGTCCACGTACTATGGCTCTTTTGTCACTCGTGCCCTCCTGGACTCCCAGTTCAGTTACCAGCACGCAATTGAGGAGTCTGTAGTTCTCATTTACGGTTAGTATGAGGTTTCCTTTATTATTCTTTTCCCCTCTTAATATTATTACTGCTATTTTTGTATTCTGTCTTTTGCCTGTAAGAGTAGCCTGGCAGGCCTTTTCGAGTAAATACCAACGGCAGCCTCAGCAGCAGCTAAGTCTAGACAGGGTTTCCTTCTTTCTGTTTATTTTTCTTGCTATCAGAGCCCTGATGTGTACGTTTTGGAATGCTGGAGTAGCTGCTTCATTTTTATTCCTTCATCTCCCCTCCCTTGTGGAAGGGGCTGGTGGAACCCGACCAGATGTCTAACAAACCCCGCTTGCTAGCGTGTCTGGCTCTGTACGTGACTGACCAATCATCGCAGGAATTGCCAAGTTTTTTTTTTTTTTATACCTCTGACAGAAGCATACAAAACCTGGCCTGTTTCTTAGCACAAAGATTTTTTTCTTTTCTGCCTATTTAATGGTGTTTCCTCAAGCTCTCCAGACCAGATGTTCTGTGCTGTATCAGAACCGTAGGCAATTTAACAGCTTTATAGCCTCCCCCTCCCCAAACACTCACAGTTTGCCATATCTGGCAGACTTGCATATAGTTTCCAGCTGAGAAGTAAATGTAACGTCCTGAGTATCTGTCAGAAAAAATACTAATGAATACGATCAATCTTATGAGCTGCCCCAAAATTGTTTCAGTATGTTAACAATTGGATTACAGTAAAGAACAAGTTGTTAAAGTATACTTATATTGGCTGGAAACATTGCATCATCAGACCTTGATGAATTTTCCACTTGTTTCAGTCTATTTTGGTTTTCATTTTATCACCGATTGCTAAAAGTTTTACTATGTTAAGTTTCAGACAACATGAATGTTAACACAGCTTTTATTCTCATGTTGGCATGCTTCAGCCGTTATCATGCTACAAGTGTTAAGCTTCTTTGTCCTAGGAATGTAACAGTTTGTTTAGAAAATTTCCCCCTGAATTCAGTAGAGTACGTCAAGGCAAAACTAATCTTTTTATATACCAGTTACATTGTAATGCACGAAGCAGCGGGGCAACTTGATCTGAATTAGCTTATTGCTACTCTAAAATTACAATTTTTTTTGGTATAAAATGTAGTTTCATGAATATTTTAATTTACTGCATAATGACTGGAAGGGAAAAATCTTTATTTAAAGGAGGTAGCTCTTACATAAATTCTGTGGATAGTTCATATGAAAGAAAAGAAAATGTGAATTAGACCTTTAATGGGGAAATAATATAAGTAGAATGGGTCTAGATCCTCCCCCCTCCATGTTCTCCAAGTTAAGTTTATTAATTAGCTTAACTTGTATATAGTTAGATGTATTTTACATTTCAGTACAATAGTATATAGTGTCTTGTCTGTGTTGGTTGGCTTATTTTTTTTTTTAATACAACTACTTAGATATTTTCTTCCTGTTTTTGTCATTCAGATATTAAAAAAATAAAAAGACAATCTGGAGTTACTAATAATACACTTCCTCCATTTTTAATTATAGATCCCATTAAGACTGCCCAAGGGTCCTTGTCACTAAAGGCATATCGACTGACTCCCAAACTGATGGAAGTTTGCAAAGAAAAAGACTTCTCTCCAGAAGCGTAAGTAACTTAAAAGAATGTTTTCTCATAGGTTTTCCTGGATTATTTGGGAGGCAGAAGGGTACACAGGATGATGAAATAACGTATTTTAAAATCTCATGTAATAGTGTGTGCTGAGGAAACCAGATATCTGTGGGTAGCCATAGGCATGGACTGATGCAGTGGGCTGAGAAGGCACGGAAGTCTGTCTTGGGGCCTCTAAATAAGGGCTGAAGTGGTGGAGATTTTGGAGATGGTCAGCAGGCTGGCTGTAAGAACCATGCTGAAGATAGCTGGATCTGGGAACAGAGTCAAAAATATTAAAAAAGAAATGGAGAACGGGAAATAGCTGGTCTGTCTTTAAGGTGTTTTTTTTTCCCAGAAGGAAAATTGAACAGGTATTCTGGAATAGTTGTTCTTTTGTATTTATTCCAAATTAACTCCCCCGTGTGGACACAACCTTCTGGAGTAAAGTAGGATAATTCAAAAGATTATCCGCTTGTAAATAGGTGTAGGCCTTAGCTGTCATCTTTTTGCTCAAACAGCTTGGTGTTCAGTGGCAAAAGCACAACTGCTTGTTAAACTGTCTTCGTTGAGGGAAAACGGAATCGTTTCGTTGCTTGGTGTCTAAACCTAACATTTCCATGATGAACAAGGAAAACTGTCCTTAGTAAAACAAAAACAAAAAAAAGAATGAGAGGCCAAAAGCAAAAGCTTTTATTCCAAAATCCAGTGTGCATACAAAAAAAGTTAAGGATATATTTCGTTAGAAACTTACAGATCATGCCTTTATTTCCAGACTTTATGAAAGCTATTGCTGTCTGCTTTATTATAAAGCAATAACAACAGTTTTTATATGTATATTGTAAAAAAAATATACACTAGAAATTTATATTTTAATGTCCATCATGAAATTTAATTATTCCAAAACACACACTATTTTGTCAGTCTAATTTTTGGTCAGTAAAGGTTTTCATTATTCAGCTATTGGGGAAATAGTTTTTCATTGTAGTAGTCAGAATTTTAAAGGCATTTCAGTGTCATGTGGTAACTAACTGTTCACTTGCATTTAAGAAAACCTGACGGCAGGGAAATAAGTGAAATATTTTGGAAAGGGCAGAATTAATCCTGTCAGTACAGTCTTTTGCTGGAGGCTTTTTCATGTAAGTAATATGTTAGCAAGCAAAGAAGCTACTTGACTTCTGAGAGTTTTTCCTAGAGCAGCTTTTCCTAGTCTTTGCAAAGGTGAGGTTTTGCCATGCAAATGCTCTCGTACCAAAACTGACTCTTGTTTGGTTGTGGAACTATGAAAATCAACAGTTTTTACAAAATTGCCAATTGTTGTTGGAGCAAAAATTCAACAAAAAGAACAAGAAAGTTACTGATTATCTTAATAAATATTTCTTGACTTTTTTCACAGCTTGAAAAAAGCCAATATTGCTTATGAAAACATGTTTGAAGAAGTGCCCATTGTAATTAAGAATTCGTACCTGATCAATGTGATGTTGTGGGAACTGGAAAAGAAATCCGCAGTAGCCGATAGACATGAATTGCTCAGTCTGGCTAGCAGGTAAGTACTTGTTACAATAATGGATGTATTTTTATTCGCTTTCCCAAACCACAGTTTAACACCTTGGGTGAAATCCCAGTCTCATTACGGTCCATGGAAGCCTTTCCTTGTCTTTTAATGGGGTTAAGACTTTACCCTTCATGTTCTTTTGCTGAAGGAAAAACTGCATAGTAAAACTGTAGCGTTAGATTCGAGGGCTAAATTCAGTCTCTAATGTGCATATACCTGTACTGCTTGAGCTGTGTAACCTTTTCAGTAGTGTGTATTTCTTCAAGAAAATACTGGCATTGAGAAAATTCAGGCAAATAGATCTGGAAATAAAAATTGATTTTGTTAAATATTCCTTAAGTAATTCTAGAAATTATTTTAATAAAAAGTAAATTGCATTTGTTCTACTTTGGTAGCAGGATGCGTTTGAAAATAAAATGAAATCATAAACCCTCTATCTGAAAAGCTGACAAAAATGCTCAGACTGATTGTCATGACAGCCAGCATTCATGATGTCAGAAGTTGTTTAAGAGTTTCTAGAATAATCTTCTTGTAACTTTATCTAAGAATAACTTTTTATTTTTGTAGCACTTTGGCCTGAAAATACATTTGTGATAACAAAGTAGGCATGACTTCCAGCAGTATGATCAGAAATCTGGTGATGCTTAATCTTACACAGCACAGTACAATTAATAGGATTATTATTGAGCTGACCAAAATAGCCAAATACAGAAAATGACGTAGTATCTTGTTACGTATAGAAACTGGGATGTATTCACTAATAGGTTTTTGGGATGTAGCACTTTCTTTTTGCATCAAGGCATTATCTGCCAGAATCCAAGTGGATTCTCATCCACTCTGACTCTGACAACCAAGTTAGCTGAATAATAGTGGCGTCTCGTATTTTTCCTTCCCCCCCACATCATCTAAGGCTATTGTTAATGGATCCATATTGCTAGCGGTCCACATGTTGTCTGAGTTAGCAGAAATTTTCCACTCTATTTTCTTTACTTGAGCTTATGTGGATGTATTGAGGGATCTGATAGCTTTTAGAGAAACTGGTCAAGAGAGAACAGGTATAGGGTTGAACTCTGCCATGGAATTTACTCATGTTGCAAGAGATATTACTAATAATTTTGTCCAGTAAAGTTGTGACTTTGCACCTTGGAATTAACAAAGTGAAGAATTTTTGCCAAGATGTTCAGTCTGCTTGACTTTGCAGACTTTCTGCCAGGCTTTTTCTTTGGTCAAAGATCACAAAGCTTTTACCAACTGAGGAGAGAGTGGGCACTGGATGTAGGAGATGACAGTGATTCCTTATGAGCTCTACGACTTTAGTGTGAGAAGAAGGACCGTGCGGAGTATACGGCAGGTTTCCAGGTGACCTGACAGAATTGCTGTTTATTGTTTCTATGGGTTTACTCCTGTGTTTTTACACCCTGGATCCTGGCATGGGCTGCTGCTAGTCGTGCAGTACAATTCTGGAAATGGAAATTAATTTGAACAGATCGCAAACCACAGATGAAGTTTTTCATCAGCTTTACATCTTACGTAGTAACTGTTCCATACCATTGCCCTGACTCAAGATAAAAAACAAGAACTGTACAAATTAATTTCCTTTCTGGAACGATGGTGTTTATAGCCTGGTGCAAGACAGGCTTTTGCGTTGGTCCTCACATCAGTAAATGAGATGAGAAGTGAACAAGAAAAACATGAACCCAAAAGAAGGTGCTGGAGTGTGTCCAAAGAGCAACAAAGCTGGTGAAGAGTTTAGAGCACAAGTCCTCTGAGGAGTGGCTGAGGGAACTGGGGTTGTTTAGCCTGGAGGAAAGGAGGCTGAGGGGAGACCTTATCGCTCTCTACAACTACCTGAAAGGAGGTTGTAGCAAGGTGGAGGTCGGTCTCTTCTCCCAAGTAACAAGTGATAGGATAAGAGGAAATGGCCTTAAGTTGGACAGGGGAAGTTTAGATTGGGTATTAGGGAAAATTTATTCACTGAAAGTGTTGACAAGCATTGGAACAGGCTGTCCAGGGAAGTAATTGAGTCACCATCTCTGGAGGTATTTAAAAGACCTGTAGATGTGTGTTGTGGTTTAGCCATACAGCTGCTCGCTCACCCTTCCCCACCCCCAGGGAATGGGGAAGAGAATTAAAGGCGAAAAGGGAAGGAGACTCATGGGTTGAGATAAGAACAATTTAATAACAATAATAATATAAAATTAAATGCAATAATGATAAAATAATAATAGAAATAAATATATATTTGTAATGATGATAATATGTACAAACAAATGATGCACAGCGTAATTGCTCACCCCCGGTGATCAATGCCTATCCTGTCCTGGCAAGTGATCCCAAAACAGATAAGCCTCAACACCACAATCCCAGATGAGTAGAGGCCTGAAAAGAGAGCGAGAGAGCACTCTGAGACACTGAGAGTCCAAGAGAGCCCTCTGAAGAGAATTCCCAGAAGAGCAAGGGCCTTTCTCCCTGGTCAGCCCTCATCTATATACTGGGCATAACGTTGCATGATATGGAATGCTCCATTGGCCAATTTGACCATCAGTCCTAAGTTCAATCATAAGAGGAGTTGTGGGCCCTTTGTCCCAGCCATGCTCCCCACAGCCTGTTGTGCTCCTACACACTGGTAAAAACACGGGAAGTTGAAAGGTTCTTGATGTCTCAGCACCAACTGTAAACATCAGTGCACTGTCAGCACTCTTCTCATAACAAACCTCATAGTAAATCCAAAACACAGAGCTCTTCCAACTGCTAAAAAGTTATATCCCAGTCAAAGCTAGGACAGTGTGACACTTAGGAACATGGTTTAGTGGTGGACTTGGCGGTATTAGGTAATGGTTGGACTTGACGATCTTCAAGGTTTCTTCCCACCTAAAGAATTCTATGATTCTCTTCTAAAAAAGAAACTCCATCATTTCTGTTTAGGAATCCTTCACAACAGGAAAAAAGGAGAATTTTTGTCTTAGTGAATCAGTGTTTCTTTTCAATGAGTGTTTTTTTTTTTTGAAGCAGTGCAGTGCTGTTCTTGATGTGACGTTTGGAACTGGATTCTTGTTAAACCTGGTTAAAAGTTCCTTTTCAATTAAATGTGTTTCTTTTGAACTTACATTGTTACTATCCCTTATACTGGCAGCAATTTCTTGAGCTTATTGAAGTCCAGAGTTTATTACTAATGGGGAATTAATTCAACAGTTTTCAGAGATATTTCTGAATTATGCCTCCTGAGCTGACTTTCCTGACAGCGTTCTTCTGGCTCACTTGGTCTATTTGAGGAGCTTACGGTGCTTAGTTTTATCTGGAGCAGAGTAAAGTTTTGGAAATTGCTCCAGTGAGTTTATTAACAGGTTTTTGAATGTGTCTTTTTCTTAATAGATAACTGCTTTTAGTTATGAGGGAGGTTACATTCAGGGGTATCTTACATTGGTATAACTCAGCTGGCAAATTAAAACATTTTAATCCTCATTTATTCAAGGCAAGGTGACTTATACTGCCTACTGAAATATTTAACTACTTTTTGCTTGAATTCAACAACTGAGATTTCTCAGTCAAAATATTGCCTCAAGTAGGGGAGTTCAAACCCCCGCTATTCTGGAGTTTTATTTTCATTTTGTGTTTCCTTATTTTTGTCTTTGAATAGTTGTGGCTAAAACATCTCAGGTATCAACTTTTCATTTTGGTGCATGTCCTCCTCACTTAACTTTGCTATTGTAGAATTAGTTGGCAGTGACTTTAAGTCTACTTTTTTTTGTTGTTGTTGTTCTGTCCTTTGGGAGCATCCTTGAATCTTTTTTAATCTTCTGAAGCAATGGTTTTGGCAATGAAATTATATACCCATAGTTCATCTCCTCTGGAGTGTTTGTTTCATCAAGAGTCTCACGTGTTCAGCCACCCACCTTGCCTGAGTTTGAAGCTGTACCTATTTGAGGTACTTTGTCTGCACCTTAATATCTTTCTCCTTTTGAAGCACAATTGTGATAATTGTATAGAGTAGTTTACTTTTTTGGACATAAATTTGTGTTTCTCTT